GAAAATTCCTATCACTTCATAATTTCATTGAGTGAAAAACTGATATTTAGCTGAGGGGCTCTTGCTCTGATGTCCCCTAAGGTCTCCTTCAGGCTGTGAGTGGGGTCGCTGAGGGCTTGACTGGGAGACCTGTCCTAAACTCTTAGGTCACTGTTGGAAAGCAACAGAATAGTTTTTTTCCAAGCTGTGTCAGATGGCTGAGATTTCTGGATGCTGGGGAGAGATCTCAGTTCCTCACACTACTTGTTTCTTCTTAGGGTGATCTACAACATGGTGGCTTGTTCCCCTAGCCTGACAGAAAGAGTAAGGGCACATGTGTGACACAGACAAGGTTCTGAGGGCAGGAGCACAAGAGAAGCCCCTTAAAGTGAAAGCATCGCCATTTTGTAACTCGGTTTCAAAAGTGAGACTCTTCATGTCCGTCACATTCTGTGACTTAGGAGAGAATTTCTGAATCCAGCCCCTGAACCGAAAGCATTGTGATTGGTTACCCAAGAGGATGGATACAGGAGGCAGCCATCACTGGGTTATCCTGAACTGGCTGCACTACAGAGTTCATGGACCCATGTAATGTATAGTGACTATCAGTGAAGACTTGGAATGATGAGCAGGAAAGGGGAGGCTCTATCTTCACTTGCTGTAAAATCAGGACACGAGAAGGCTCTTCTTAGAATCCAGGGACCGCTTCTTTCTGGTTAGTTTCGGAAACCATCACTTGGTCTTATTTATTGTCAAACTGACCATTTCCAGCTGACTTCATAGCCTCCATCTGCCAAGAGAGTGTATGCTATGGTTACCCACATTGCATTAGTAGTTTGCAATCTTTTTTTTTTTCTTTTACTGAAGCAGTACAGGGTTTCTTGTCTCTTCCATTTCCATTTATGCAAAGCTGATCACATTGTCACACAGTGTCACTTATGCATGACACTGAATCATCCATCAGGCCAACTATGATTACTGGCATTCTAAAATTCTCTTAAAGGCTGTGCCTGTACTTCATTGACAGTGACCACATGAGCAGTCTGGAATGCTGGAAAATGTGGGTGCCAATGTGTTTACTTTACTTACAGATTTTTTTTAAGATTTATTTATTTATTATATATACAGTGTTCTGTTTGTATGTCTGCACACCAGAAGAGGCACCAGATCTCATTACAGATGGTTGTGAGCCACCATGTGGTTGCTGGGAATTGAACTTGGGACCTCTGGAAGAGCAGTCGGTGCTCTTAACCTCTGAGCCATCTCTCCAGCCCCTACTTACAGATTTTTTTTAAAGCATAAATATAGAACAGTATATCTCTTAGTAATGCTTTCTTTTGAACCCTTCTTTAAAAAGACTTGTTTTATTTTTAGTTCTCTCTCTCTCTCTCTTTCTCTCTCTCTCTGTGTGTGTGTGTGTGTGTGTGTGTGTGTGTGTGTGTGTGTGTTTGTGTGTGTATACATGTGAGTACAGGTGCCTGAATATGCCAGAGGTGTTGAGTCCCCTGGAGGAGTTGCAGACAGTTATGAATTCTTAACCACTGAGACATCTTCCACCCATCTTGAGCTTTTTATGGGATCACCAGTGCAACCCTAGAGTGTGACCTTTTGTAGTGCTGATGGCACCCCGTCATCTGCATGTGGCTATCAGAAGGGAAGAGAGAGGAGGTGCCTTTGAAGGTTAGTCTTGTATACACAAGGAAGGTCTGCCCCTTGCCCAGCATGGAACACATACATGGGACAACATCCACTGACGGCAAGGGAGGAACTCAATCAGAGGACCCATTCAAGTTTCAGAGAAAAGGTCACAAAATACCCGAGAAATAGAGGCGTAGCCACATGGGATGGCTGGACCTAACAGGCCGTTTGTAGAGGAGGCAAGGTGACTGGCGGGGAGGGTGGTCAATGCAAAATGTCACTGGCACCCCCTCCACCTTTCCATGCGCACGACTCAAGCCTGAAAGTGGGTGGTGAGTGAGTGATAGCCCAGAGCTTAGAATTTCTTCCTGTGTCTGAAAGTCGGTCCAAATCAGGGTGCCGGTACCATCTGTCAGCCCAGTCTTATGTGATCCTGAGAGAGAAATGTTCTGGCTAGGAGGAGCCATCTGCTTGCCAGATCCCCATTTAGAACTAACTGGTGCTAGCCACAGAGAAACGGCGCCACGAAGGGGAGAGTTCTGCGATCTCTCGGGGTATCTTGGTGATCTTCCACACAGAGGCGCATCAGAGAACTTCCAGAAGGGGAGGGATGTGGCCCAGGGCCAGGTGGGTTTTGATCTAGGCTTGAGTGTCCCACCTGGATGACTTCAATGTCTCTCATTGGTCCCAGGCACCAGAGAGTGACTTAGAAAATGTTGAAGAAAGCTCTCTGAAGGGTTAAAACACCAGTTTAAAGATGGCATTACCTACAACAACCTCTCTGGTGCTATCCTTGTAGGGATAATGTAATCAAGACGACTAATTGTGTCACTGGGTGGGATCTTTGAGGAATTCCGTATCCAAGAACGCAGTCAATGTAGAAGGGGGTATGAGAGGTGGGTCCCTGCAAAATGAACCCAGAAGTAAGATTTGCATGCAGGAGGTGAAATCGGGGTAGGGGGTTGCTTTTACCATCCTCAAATACAGGCGTGGGTTGTGTGAAGCAGGCATGGGCAGAGAGAGAAGTTGGACCAAGAGGCAGTGGTAAGAAGGTTGCTGCTGCATCCATGACAACGTCCCTCAGGACAATGTCCCTTCATGTGCACCCCACACTGAAGCAGGCTCAATGGACTCTTAGCCCCTGACATCATCAGATGAGTCCTGGATGGAAGCTACCTCCAGAGAGGGAGTGGAGTTTGGTTGTACCAGGCACTGTACAGCTTAGCCCAGTGCTTGCTTATTTCCTCAGGCCTCTTCCTGTTACACTGTAGGTTTCTCGTTCCACCCTGGGAGGGACTTGACTGAGAGATCGCAGCATCTTAGACACGGTCTTCTACCTCCCTCTCTGTTCCTACTTGGACAAAGGAATGATACAAACCTTCCCAAACCACCTGCAGAGCAGTTACACATTTTCCATTTTCATCCAAGAATCCTTCAAATCTCCCGACTGAGCACTTGTTTGAGACAAAAACAAGATCCAGTCGTTAATTCTTTTCTTCTCGTTGCTTGTTGATTTCCTTGTCTGGTTTAGCATGTCCTTCCAGGTTTATTTCACTCTCAATGTGTCTTTTGAGTAGGAACGCATTGAAGCCTTTCAGACATCACGGGTATTGCTTATTCCACGATGCTTACAGGGACATGCTTGCAGACCTTCCTAGTGGTAGCAGTTATGTATACAGTTTCAGCATCATTTTAGAGCATTTTCATTTGTTTGGAACACCCACTCCCTGTCAAGCCGAGGACTGGACTGGAGAAGAGAAAATGTAGCTTGATTGTTCAATAAAAAAGCCCTTGCATTTTATTATGCAGGAAACAGATACACTGCTTGGAGGGAGGAGGTCTTCCTGTATTCCCCTCAGCTTATCTTTAAGGCCAGTTGTTGTTGTTGTTGTTTTTTTTTTTTTTTTTGGTTTTTTCGAGACAGGGTTTCTCTGTGTAGCTTTGCGCCTTTCCTGGGACTCACTTGGTAGTCCAGACTGGCCTCGAACTCACAGAGATCCGCCTGGCTCTGCCTCCCGAGTGCTGGGATTAAAGGCGTGCGCCACCACCGCCCGGCCAGTTGTTGCTTTTAAATGCCCTGGAAAGTTCTTTGAACCTAAAGACATATAGTTCCAAAGTGATAGGATTCAATAACCATGGTCTAGAACTTTTAAAATTTTGAGCCAAAAATAAAGCTTTGCTTTTCCCAATAAATAAAATAAAGCTTTATTTCCCCCCAATATCTTAGGTGTTTTGATAGAGTGATGGAAAACTGATTAACAGCCTTGGCTAGTTTTGGAAAACTCAATCTGCTGTAATCTGCTAAATAGATCTCTGGTGTATTTACTTTTAAAAATAATTTCATACTGTGCATGCATGTGCGTCTGTGTGTGGGTATGTGCATGTGAGTGCAGGTTTCCATGGAGACCAGAGGTGTCAGATCCCTTGGAGCTGGAATTACAGGCAGTTGTGAGCTGCTTGACATGGGTGCTGGGAACCGAACCCATGGCCTCTGTAAGAACAGTACGTGACATCATCTTCAGCACGGATTCATTCCTCCAGCCCCCATCTCCATTATTATATTGATAGCATTATTGTAACGGGCTGATTTTACATAAATCCTTGACAAAGTATGTGAATGACGACAGACAGGTTTTAGACTGCATTTTCTTCTCGTTAGTATAAACATGCTCTTCAGTGCTTCACACTGACAACACACTCACTTGTGTGTGGATGCTTCTCACTTGGAGAAGTGTTGATCACCTGCACAAGGCTCAGGGAAGCAGTGGAAGAACAGCCAGAAAGAAGGAAAGAGTTGGCAGCAGGGTAGGCTGATGGCGGAATAGGACTCAACTTTTGGGAGCGATGCAGCTTATACACTGGCGCTCACAAGATCTCTACAGGGTTGTGCTCAGCAGCGTCCTATCACGCAGTGATGTGGAGCTTGTGAGTTTTCTTCCTTCCTGAGGATTTTTACAGTTAATGGATATTGGGGGAGGGAGGGAGGGACACTTTTTTCTTTTCCCAATGAGCTATTCACTAGTGACATGCCTATGTTCCTGTAAGCAACTCTAACATAACTCAATGGGTCAAAAAAGAAAGAAAGAAAGAAACAAACAAACAAAAACACAAGCCGGGAAAGAAGGAAGGCATGAGAGCAGCATGGAGGAGCAGTTAGGAGGAGGAGGGGGGTCAGCAGGGGTGAGAGGGAGAGGAGAGCAAAGGGGAGAATGTGATCAAAATGCATTATACACAGATGTAAAAACGCTGTGGTGAAATCCATCATGTATAACTGATATTTAGCGAAAGAAGAACAGCGGTGAGAATCGGGACCTCAGTTGCCATGGTTACAGCGGACTCCGGCACCGGGAGTTCTATCCCGCTTCTCTTTGGGATGAGAGAACATGAGGTCGGCTGGTACAGACCCTGGCCAGGGTTTGCTTTTCTGCCTAGCTCAGAACAGTGCTGTCTTCTAGGAGTTTCTGCCCTATGCCTGTGCTGACCTGGGCCACATGTGGCTCCGGAGGACTTAGCTAATGTGACTGGAGGAATGAATGTCTTCACTCCTGGTGTAATTATATTTGGGTTTGAAAGCATCTGCATGGCTAGCGGCTGCCTTATTGACCAGCTCTGCTCCAGAGTTTCAGCTTTGGCAATCTTGTCTCAGGTTGCAAGGCCAATCACTGCTTTCTTCCTTCACTGCAAGAAACAAAACCACAAAGGTTTGTGTGTGTGTGTGTGTGTGTGTGTGTGTGTGTGTGTGTCCCTCCCACCAGAACATTCCTTTACTTCCCAGGACAGCTCTTAATTGCTGGTTTCAGTAACTCTCCCTCTTCTCCTGTCTTCATTTCGTTTCTGGCTGTTGCAGGGCTGGTCTTGATATAGAACGCTTTTTGTTTCCACTTTGTTTTCTGTCTAGAAAAATAGTTCCTTGTGTCTAACCTTCATGGCGCAGACAAGCATAATGACCTCTGCGGAGAGCTTGTAGACGCTGTGGAAGTCAGTTGCCGCCTTCACACGCTTTAATTAACCGTCTTGTAAACACGCCCGTTGATTGTGTGTGTTGAGGCCCTTTAATCCGTTCTCTGCAGTTCCCTTGTTTAACCCCAGTTGGAATGCACTTGTTTTTCTGTGGCTTTTGGAGAGTATAATGAGGCTTGTCGTTTTCATAGTTTGCGAAGTGG